GCCTTTGTTTGGTTTTCCACTGTGTAAAAGTTGTACCTGTACCTGCTTTCGGGTACTTTTTTTCGTACCACCTCCGGCGAGGTTCTAAGCAAGCTAAGGCGATACTAAAATGTGACGTGAAAACAATGCCGACTGCTGATTGGTCACAGAGAATCTGCGTCATCATTGCACGCGCCAGATGGAGTATCCAGAATAACCCCGCCATTTTTAAATAGTTTGGCCAGAGATAGTTACTAAACTTACTACTATTATTATGGCAACTCGGAAGAATACGCCGTGGTCAAACGAGGAGGTGCAGACTTTCCTTTGTTTGGTTGCCGAAGAGAGGATCCAGCGAGAGCTTGATGGGGCAACGAGGAACGAAAGGCGTCGCTATGACGACCGGGTACTATTTGTGGCGGTACTTTCTGCAATGGAAAACAGAGCGAAAAGCGAGCCGAGTCGAGGCGAGCCAAGGCGAGTCGAGTCGAGCTGGTACTGGTAATGGAAAAGCGCCATAAAACTAAATCTTTTTTAGTGATCTACCATTCCTCTGCTACATTCTTTAACAGCTCAGGAGAACTTTGCACACGGGTGCAAATATGGCCAAGGTTAAACCAGGTGGCTTTAATTAGGCTGCAGGAGAAGCTTAATGACACCTTTAATGCTACAATCAAGCACTTTCTTAAACTTGACACTGAATCACAAATAAAGTATGAGTTTGTCTTGCAGTGTAGCTTTATTTTTCCCAACCCAACACAATCACACATTTCAGAAACCCAACACCATTAAAAGACAGAAACATAATCTCATTACATTATTCATCTACAGACACATGAACTATATTCAATTATGTGTGCAAGCCTCATCTTCAGCATCCATACAGCTTCTTGATCCTCAGAACGTCAATTTTGGACAATCCCTGCCTCTGTCCGATTTCCAGTCTCATCAGGAATGGGAGTGATGGTTTCCAGCCAGGGCTGAATGGAGAAGGCAGTTCTTCCATAGTGCATGATGGAGCCGTAGTCGTGTGGAGTGTTTTGGTTGTTGGTGTTCTGTTTCTCGAAGTTGTAGGCCATATCAGGATAGATGTTCTCAAAGTTGATTTTGACATACTGGCTCTCATTGACTACTCTTGTCTGGAGCACATGAGACGCTAGCTGTCACTCATCTGTAATAAAATGCACAGTTACGGTGACATACGATTCTGTGGCAATGGATGTCCGTGCCTCATGTTACAGCTATCCTACCCGCTTTCTTCAGTGATTCCATGACTTCGGTTTTGGTCTCGTTGTAGAGTGGGGATCGCTGTGTCCGTAAAATGTCTCAGAGATGGGACATCGGATCTCGGCCCCAAAGTGTGCAACATAGCGCGAAAGCCCGGGTTCTCAACAACTGAATACCTACGTAAATCCTTGGCAATAAAAGTTGCGATTGATTGTGTAATGCGCTTTGCCCTTTCTGAGCCGGGTGGAAGCTTTGACAATGTTTGCTCGATGGTCCTCTGGCTGGCAGCAACGACCGGTACAGCCGAGTCAAGTCAAGTCATCTTCATTTATATAGCGCTTTTAACAATGGATTGTTTCAAAGCAGCTTTACAGAGATAAACATATAATTTAAGGTAACAGAGATTGTTTTGGCTTTATAGCGGTTCTTGAATAATGTTATTTCCAGCTAAAGTTAGTTTTGATTGATTCACCTCCGTCGAAATGATCATTTGTTATTAAATTAGGGGCCGCTAAGACGACGCCGTTCTCTCTAAACAGACTTTAAACGCGAACCTGTGATTAACGCTCACATGCACATTAAGAATTGATTCTATATGTGCTTTTGAAAATATGTGCGCAGGTTTGTAATTCCATACAACCCATGCCTAAACAAACTACTTGTCTTGCCTATACATTCTTATACAGAATTTTGTTTTATTTTATCACTTCGGGGTACGCGAACCGAAATTCACAACGCTTTATCTGTAGAGGGGGAAAGGGATCCTCCATAGGGAGAGGATAGTTGACACTTCAGCACTGCATTGTCATCGGGTCCAGGCGAAGCTCCTTCGTCAGATCTGGATACGGCCTGGATCCGGCAGGCTGCGGGAAAACCTCGGGATAAACAAAGACTCTAATATTAGCGTAGATGCCATTCTTCTTATGATGTAACGAGTACATCTGGATTTAAGGGAAGTGTTCCCAGTTCCGGCTGACCTAATCTATGCAGCCTAACATTGAATTATAGAAGTCTATAATGTATTATGTGAATGCTAGGTCAAAGAGATGTGTTTTTAGTCTAGCTTTGAACTGACAGAGTGTGTCTGCTTCCCGGACAATGGTAGGAAGACTGTTCCAAAGTTTTGGTGCTAAATAGGAAAAGGATCTACCGCCAGCAGTCGATTTTGATATTCTAGGTATTATCAACTGGCCGGAGTTTTGAGATCGCAATAGACGTGAAGGACTATAATGTAGGGGTGTGCAAAAAAATCGATTCACATTTGAATCGCGATTCAATCTTTACCGATTCAGAATCGATTCATAGAATTCCAAAAATCGATTCATATTTTTTTTTTTTTTTTTTTTATGGCGTGCACGGGCGGCGTGGCAATCGGGTGAGTCGGGACTTTTACCGGTGGTTCGGTAGTGTTTCGAGGCTGCGAGGGCCGGTCTGATAAATAGTTACATTGCAAGTTCTTGCCGCCCGCTGGTCAAACTGTGCAGCCTCTCTGCTCAACCCGTGAATAAATGCATCGATCCGCTGCATGTTTGAGTTCTTAATGGTCTGTAGATCTTTTGCCAAGCGTGTCAGAGGTTACGGGTTCTAAACCGCACTCGTATAGTTTTTTCTCTCTCTCATCAAAACCGAATATGTTCATCACGTTTGTGTGCATTTTATTTTGAGATTTCACCAGAACCACAACGGCGATATGAAGCGCGCGTCCGAGTGAAGACAGCGCGAGCCACAGAGAACACTGTATCCATGACACTGATAGCAGCGGCAACGAGCGCTCAGCTTGATTTCAAAAACAACAGATCTCTTATTTAATAGCGAACTAAATAAATGCTCTGCTAGTTAACTGGAGATACCCGCAAATTACGCCTATGAACGACTTCACTGGATCTAAAGAAATCAATCTAACCATAGATGTTACCAGTAGCGGTGGCTTTTTAAAATCTATTTAAAATTATTTCGCAAGGGTTCTATGACATTATTATATTTTTAGGAAGTTCAATGTGCCCAGTCGAGTTCACATTTCAACAGTCAGCCTGCTGAAGTAGTCCTTAAACCACATTTAGCATAATTGTTTGTTTGATCTGACTACAGCACTTTAAAGCTAAATGTAAAAGCTTTTTATTTAAGTTTTATTTTAAACTTGAATTAAATGTATTTGAAAGCTGGCCAAAGCTTGGCACTTTGCACTTTTTAGTTGCAAAAGTTTTTATTTTTGTTTGAAGACATAAAGTAATATCAAACTACATTTAATTTGTTGTGTTTTTTTTTTCTTTTAAATTGTGTCTACTGCAATCAATCACATAGGAAAAAGTAAACTACATTTATATACTGCGAATCGTTTTTTGAATCGAGAATCGTTTTTGAATCGAAAATCGATTTTGAATCGAATCTTGAGACAAAAAATCGGTATCGAATCGAATCGTGACATTTTCTGAATCGTGCACCCCTACTATAATGTGTTAAGAGCTCGCTCAAGTACTGCGGAGCTAAACCATTTAGTGCTTTGTAAGTAATCAGCAATATTTTAAAATGTATACGATATTTAATAGGCAGCCAATGCAGTGTTGACAGAACTGGGCTAATATAGTCATATTTCCTGGTTCTGGTAAGAACTCGAGCTGCAGCGTTTTGGACCAGCTGTAGTTTGTTTATTAAGCGTGCAGGGCAACCACCCAGTAGAGCATTACAATAATCTAGCCTTGAGGTCATGAACGCTGAACTAACTGTTCCGCATTTGTTAATGAGAGCATATTTTAGATATATTTTTAAGATGGAAAAATGCAGTTTTACAGATACTAGACACGTGACTTTCAAATGAAAGATTGGTATCAAAGAGCACACACAGGTTCCTAACCGACGACGAAGACTTAACAGAGCAGCCATCAAGTGTTAGACAGTATTCTGGGTTATTACGTGTGGACGTTTTTTGTCCAATAATTAGAATCTCTGTTTTTTCAGAATTTAGTAGTGGGAAATTACTAGTCATCCAATGTTTTATATCAGCTATGCATTCCGTTAATTTTGTGAATTGGTAAGTTTCGTTAGGGGTCACCTAAGAGGGGGATTCGCCCAATTCTCAAAAATGAAATTCAGGTCCTGAATGAATGTCTGTAAAATCCTGATTGAAGCATCCCTATAAATACATGATAAAAAGGCTTCAAATAGATCGCTGTCGGCAGATACAGCTTCATGTGATCGACGATTGGTGATCTGCTCCAAAAATCCTGATCGGAGCACCCTTATTATAGGAGTTATTTTGAAGCGCTTAATATAAAGCATGCCTCCTGTTTAGAGCTTGGGAATTACGCATGTGCAGTGGTTAACACAATTCTGCATTAATTCTGTACAAATGCGGAAGACCTGTACCAAAACTGCAATGATATATCAGCCAATAATCAGTACAAAAGCAATTATCTGATTCTGCACTATAGGGCATCGCCCAATTGTTTAAAAACTATCAGTATATCGACATCAGATGTCATTCTGGATAATCCTATCTGTAGAAAAATGTAGTATCTTTTAGTATGTCCTACTACAAATGTGTGTACGATTATTAATGCAGACGGTAATATCATGATGCCTTTGCCATAATAGGATTCATTATATGGCCTGATTTGTGCACGCTTCAAGTCTTTATGAAAATCAGTTTTCAGTGGCTGGTTATGCGCATTGTATTGTGACACCAACATTACTAAGCATTTTTGTGCTGAAGAAGCATTGCATAGAGGCCAAAGTAGGGAGCTAATGTTGCAGTGTGCATGTGTAAGTGACTGACTCTGATGTGCTCTTGTTTGCAGACGTCCGCTCCAGCCATCATGGCAGTCAGGCTGTGTGATGTGGCTTCTCTTCTGAGAAGTGGCTCGTGGGCAGCCGAGCCGTGGACTGGGGTTTGTGGGACTTTTTCATTTTTTTCTTTCATCACTGTCAGTCCAGTGTTATTGTGGGCTGTGCTGATTGCATCTCTAAACAACTGCATCTAAAATCATTTGATTGTGTTCAAATGAGTCATTTGTGTTTGTAGGGTGTAGTGTCTGATTTATTTTAGGTTGTAGAACGTGATTCTGATCTGACAGTTTCATGAATTCTTCCTTCCTTTCGTTTGTTTTGCTTTTCTGGCACTTTCCACAAATAGGGTACTAAATAGGGATGCAGAAACAAACGCAATTTGAAAACGAAGGAACAAACAAAATGAAAACGAAATCAAGTTTTAAACGTTCGGAACAGAAACGCTTAGCCTATTTAAAATGACCAATTACAAATTTTAATTTGGCAGTCAACCAATCTTGAATTCAAATAGTATGGCCTACTCCAATGTGACGTTGACGCATCCAATGTGAAATGCGTGCACTCAGTTGTCAAGTCATCCTATGTAAGTCGCAAGGCAATGTGCTGCATTAGCTGTGGATCGCAGGAGTTTATCCGAGGATGTCACCATGGCAGGTTATATCTCGCAGGTTAGTGTAGAACCGCTTCTATTCAGGAAATTAAAATGATTTTTTAAATGATTAAACACCTTGTTGTCAAAGTTAGTATTGTGGCTTTATGCATGGTCAGACACTTGCATGTGTCGTTATATTATTAACATTTTTCCAAAATTAAGCTCAAATGGAGTTATGAGGTTTTTCACCAGTGAATGTCAGAGATTATTTGTCCGTCAATAAAATGGCCACATCTGAGGCAGCTTGTGCATCGCATAAAGTTTTTATCAACTAACATGTTACAAAGATTATTGTTGCAATGTGTGTGCTCAGTTTTCACTGATTACTTGGTTTTACAGTTAAAAATCAACAGCTTGTCATTCATGATGTACAGTACCGTATGCATTCTTGGATACATCAGTAGATACAGACATTTGATGATTATGCTGTTGAATTTTATATGAAATAATAGTTAACCAGTTCTAATAGCTCTGTTAAAAACATGGGCTTTAGTCAATGCTTTAAAGCAAAGATAATTGTCAGTTACCGATTTCTACCCTGTTTGTGGAAGTGCCTTTTGTTATGAAGTTTCTCTTTCCCAGAATCCTTTCCTTTGTTTGCATGGTGGGAATGACACTGGTTCTGGTGCTGTTGTTTGTTTGTTGGGTTTTTTGCGTTTGTTCTGGTCTTTCTTTAATGATTTAACAGACTTTTAAGCTCCCCTGTTGTTATTTTTTTAATTTCCCCGATGTACCACATCCTAATGCTCTTGGTATAGTTTGGAGAATTAGTTAAGGAGAATTTCCTTTTCTAGGCAAGCAAAATAGCTTATAACTGATACCAAAATAAATCAAATCAAAATTAGAATCAAATCGAACGCAGATGTGAACAGAGAAGTATCATATGATTTGTTCGCTATATTTTAACTGATCCGAAGCCAAATTAGGCATTTTTCTGTCCCTTAGATAGAGCGCAGTTGTTTTCTGTCAAAAATGATTTCCATTTGAGGTCTCATCTCTCGTTGTCCTATATTCAAATATGACAAATGAAGATGGCATGATGACTGTCCATGACACCAAACTCAATTTATGCATTTTGTAACAAAACATAATAGAGGTCGACCGATAGTGGATTTTACCGATACCGATATTTAGGTTTGACCGTACATGCCGATAACCGATAATTCAACCGATATTTTTTAAAATGGATACTGGATTAAAAACAAACAAAACACTCACAAGTAAAACAGTGCTGAACTGAAATGTGCTAAATTAATATGAATTAATATAAATTAATATGAATATATTAAAATGAGATGTTCTACAGAACGAACTCTATACAGAAAATAATTTAAACATTAAAATATTACAGGTTTCGTTAGCTATAACCTAGAAACATACGTAAATTTCATAGGTAACACTTTGCAAGTCCCATTTGTTAACAAGGATGTATTAGCTAGCTTTCATGAACTATATGCATTATGCAATATATGTTTTTACTGCATGTATTAATATGAGCAATACAGTTGTACCTTTATCATTCATGTTAGTTCATAGTACAATAACTAACTAACAGATAAAATAAGAATTAAAACTCCATTTCAAATGCACTAGTAAATGTTGAAATGAACAAACTAACAATGAATAATATTTCTACAACTTGTATTAACCTTAGTTAATGTTAAAAATGGAATCTTATTGTAAAGTGTTACCATTTCATATAATTCCAACGAGTCATGCTTAAAGATGGCCATTAAAATTTAATAAAGACCTATTACGTATACGTAATATAGCCTATGTATACTCTCTCACTTTATTTGCTTATATTTTAGAACACTTGATGATTATCTAATCAAAATAACAAGATGTATTGTAGTGATAAAAAAAAACTTAAATCGAACGCGTTTCTGATTTGTTTGTTTCTGTCGGCTGCATGAACATGAATGTTGAGAAAGCAATCACGTCACTAGCTTTAAATATGCAACTTTATCGGCTAATGAATGCATAAAAGTGACCAGCCGGATATAAAATAATGCAAATAGATGGTAACAATTGCAACATAAAACATTTGGGTCAGGTCGTCTGCGTGTGTTTTTGTCACATCGTTTAAACCGCTTGACTGAGGTAACATTACTAATGTTAGAGTCCTCACAGCCTCGACGGCAAACTGCTGTTCTTTCTCTGCTGATGCAGCATCTAGTCAACAAATTAATTATTTTATAATGATATGGCAATATACTTTAGTGTTCTGTATTCATACCGTTTCGCTGTCGGTGTTTTAAATGCGCGTCTGAAGTGTCAGCGTTCTCTGTGGTGCGTGTTCTCTCCGCGCCCTCACGCGTTAATGTAAACAACTCAGCCTGGGATAGTTTGTTATTGGCCTCTAGAGGCCGCTCTCGCTCTGTATAATGCCAGCAGTCTCTTCTCAGCGCTCTCCTGCTGTGTAATGACCGCGCGCACTTCTCAGCCGCTCCAGCTACGGACGCAACCCGGAAAAACTATCGGTGTGGATTTTTGCCGATAACGATAGTTCCACCAATCAACTATCGGTGCCGATTAATCGGCAAAACCGATTAATCGGTCGACCTCTAAAACATAATGCACCAAGTTTGAATATGTGGAAGTGTGAGTCAGGTTTGACGGCTATGGCAAGTGACCCTCAACAGCCTCTCGTTTGTCATTTTCCAGTTTTCTTCACTCACTCAGTGTGTGTTTGCGCCTCTATAGCAGGTGATTGCAGCCATGGAGACTCAGCTGTCCAACGGGCCGAGCTGTCCCACCAGCAACGGCCCCAACAGTGTCTCCAACAACTGCACGGCACCTGTGGAGATGCCCAACGACACCGAGGACAGTAAAACTAATCTGATCGTGAACTACCTCCCGCAGAACATGACGCAGGAAGAGCTCAAGAGTCTGTTCGGCAGCATCGGAGAGATCGAGTCCTGCAAACTTGTGCGAGACAAAATCACTGGTACTTGCGGCTATCTCTGTAATCATTTTTCGATTTTTCAACTGGATATAGTACAGCATAGTTTATAATCAAGGATTTAAAGTTATAACTCTCATGGATGGACAATCAGAGAGTACTAGTGGTGTTAGGCAGGCTACAAATGCACACTTAAGTGAATCTAACTGGAATCACTAAAGTTTGTTTAGTGATCTATTTAATTCATTGAATTAAATAGATATTCAAAGACTTGAAAATGTAAATGATAGATGCGTATTTACTGAATGTTGATATATGACTATTTGCATTGACTTTCTTCAGCATTTGTTTAATATTTTTTAGATGTAATTGTTAACCAGACAATAAACTAATGAAAGCAAAAAATTGGAGTTCCTTTGAGTCTCTGCACATGTGCCGACTGTCAAAATAAAAGTCCTGCTTCCAACATTTATTGGCCAAACTGAAAAATGCCAAATATCAGACGATATATCGGTCAACCACTAATAATCTGTATTTAAAAAAAAAAAATCTTTTGTGAGTGAATCATTTAAATACCCATCATAATTTTAGACTAATTTGTTGCAGAAAACGTCCCTGAACAAATCAATGAACAATTTAAAGAATGCGAAAGATTTGAGTCACTGGGATGAATTGGTTGGGTCTCTGGTTAAACCCTTAGATTTGATTTTCATATGGAGGCTTTACAGCTCACCTCATAGTACATATTACATTCTGTGTGTTAGATACTGTGACAGTCAGATCCATAACACACTGCAATTCTTATAAATCCTCACCTCGGTGTGTGTGTGTGTGTAGGTCAGAGTCTGGGTTACGGCTTTGTGAACTATGTGGAACCCAAAGATGCAGAGAAAGCCATCAACACTTTAAATGGACTCAGACTGCAGACCAAGACCATCAAGGTAAGGTCAGTCTAATATGAGGCTGCTGTCATAGATATACTGCTCATGTGTGTTGGTGTGTGCCCGTCACACGACTCTACACTAAGTTTGTGTGTGTCCAGGTGTCGTATGCTCGACCAAGCTCGGCGTCCATCCGTGATGCTAACCTGTACGTAAGCGGTCTTCCTAAAACTATGACCCAGAAAGAGCTGGAGCAGCTGTTCTCGCAGTATGGCCGCATCATTACTTCCAGGATCCTCGTGGACCAGGTCACAGGTAAGATTTGACCGACCTCTTCACGCTGGGGTCATGCACTCGTCTGTGTGCTGTGTTTGGCCAAATAAAAAGCAGGCTGTCAGGAAGAAAAATAGGGATAGCTCACAGCTGAAGTTATTGCAGAGGCCAGACAGACTCACGGAGGCGATTGGCATCTCACAACTCGCACTTTATTCCACAATCGAACTTGTGTAACTGTCTGTCACACGTTCTACCATCCACAGCGTTACTTAACAAAATAAGGTAAAAAATGAGCATCAAACAGAAATAACCCGCATACATGGGCATGTGTTCTTCGAGGCGCACGGCACATACAATACGGACTGCAGTGCAGACAGTTTAACAGGGAGAGCGCAGTTCTTAAAGGGGCCACACCTTATTTCCACCCGTTACAGTAGGTGCACAGTTCGAATGCAGTAGGCTGTGAGAAAGTGAAAATGGAACTCGTGAGCAGAAAAAGTGTTGTTTGGCAGTACTTTCAGTCAAAAGAAGGCAATTCAAGTCGAGTTACATGTTCAATTTGCAATGCCGATTTGTCTCATGGTGGCAAGGAAACAATAGGCTACACAACATCGGCGCTGTTAAAATGCATAATGTTGCTTATTCTTTTTTTTTTTTTTTTTACAGATATAAAAGTAAAAGTAGGCTAGTGTTTATTATTTACAGTAATAAAATAAAATGAAAAATCCACTTTGTTTACTTCATTAATGTGTTTACTGTGTTAATGGACTGAGGATGAGAGTAGGATTCGGTATTCGGTTTCGGATTCGGCAGAATCTTAACCAGTGGATTCGGTATTCGGCCGAACCCCACAAATCTGGATTCGGTGCATCCCTAGTTGCAATCGCAAGAGTGTCATATTGCTATTAAAGCTGTGTGTATGTATACACCATTGAGCCAAAACATTATGACCACGTGCCTAATATGCTGTTGGTCCTCCGCGTGCTGTCAAACAGCGCCGACCTGCCAAGGCAGGTATCTGGTATGGTATCTGGCGCTAAGACGTTAGCGTAGCAGCAGATCCAAATCCTATAGGTTGTGAGATGGAGACGCAGTGGATCAAATTTGTTGGTTCAGCACATCCCACAGATGCTCAATTGGATTAAGATCTGGGGAATTTTGAGACCTGAACATTGTGTGCAGTGTGGCAGGGTGTATTATCCTGCTGAAAGAGGTAGGTGGCACGTGTCAAATCCAGGTTTTCCCAGCAGAACATTGCCCAGAGCATCAGGCATCATCCCCCAGGTAAACGGCACACACGTACATGGCCATCAACGTGATGTAAAAGAAAACTGGAGTCATTGGATTAGACGTCCTTCTTCCACTGAACCAAGGTCTAGTTCTGACGCCTGTGTGCCCATTGTAGGATCTTTTGATGGTGGACAAGGGTCATCATAAGCACTCTGATTGGTCTGCACCTCCGCAGAATGCGAAGCACTGTGTTGTGACTCATTCCTCCCATAGCCTTCATTAAAATTGTGCCACAGTAGAACACCTGTTGGCTGGGGTCGCAATACCGGGAGCAACCCACAAGCCTTACTGTTTCAGAGATACTCTGACCCAGTCGCCTTGCCATAACAATTTTCCCCTCGTCAAAGTCGCTCAGATCTTTATTCCTGCCTATTTCTCTTGCATTCAACACGTTGATTACGATAACTGATTGTTTTGATTACCATCTGATCTACCCAGTCCTTAATATGTGGCTTTGTTAGGAGATGATCAATGTTAATCACTTCACCTGTGATTGGTCATAATGTTTTAGATCTTCAGTGTATACGTGGATTGTAGTTAGTGATGCATCAAAATGAAATTTTTACTGAATTAGCGAAAGCAAAATTAAAGTTCCTTTTCTGTCGGTCACTTTCAATGTTGTCGAAATACCAACAATAAGGGTCGCCCCAAACACCTCTGACATATTCAGCTTAATTTCGCATTCTGGGCTCAAAAGGAAGATAAAGTGTCACTCACAGCATCGGAGGGCGAGATTATGCTTCCGACGCTGATGACTTGTCTGTGCTGCTGCCTTCAAGCATGATGTTGCAGTCTGAGGCAGCCATGAGCATCAGGCTTGAGTGGTCTCCGCCACCCTGTCCCGAACTCTCGCGGCTGAATGATTGGTACCTGGGGTCAGAGCGTGACGTTGCGCCACACTGTTCCATTTTTTACTGGAGTTTACAGTCGTGGAAGGCACCTTTCTCTGCCAGAACATGCTTCGCAGGCTCCTCCATTCTCACTACCCTTGATGGTGGGGCCACATCTTGCCTTGGCGCAGGTTCCTCTACCCACGAGAGCCAAAGCTCCGCCTGGAGCGTCAGCCAGACCCCAGAGGTCTAGTTGCAGGAAGGTAGCACTGCCTGCCCATCGACAGGATACTAAGAACCCCCGCAAGATGTTGAAGTCTTCCTGAGACAGACGACCCAGGGAAGGAGAGGCTGTGGATCTATTCGCCTTGATCAGGGTGAGCCTCACTCCCGTTGGAAGGGGTAGTGAATTATATATGGTCTTAAGGGGAGCTATTTTCTCTTTCCCTGGGTCACATACACACATGTTCATGGTCCTCGTCTTTGCGGTGGTCAGACATCGAACACTCCTATTAGAACCTCGGTGGACGCAGGCATGCCGTCTCCTTGCGTTCTGTTGCTCCGTGGAGAGTTGAGACTCCATCCCCAGGTGGACCAACTGATACAGAGTTGATTCGAAGAAGCACAGGTAAGCTGTTCACTTCTGAGGAATCCTCCCACTGTCCACAGTGGTATGTATTCCCTGACCGAGGCCCCCCTCGGCATGGACACACTGGCTTACAGCTGGCCATTGGGCATGCACAAGTATGCGTTTCCCCCAGTGAGCCTGATTGCACAGACTAAGCCAAGTCAAGTCATCTTCATTTGTATAGCGCTTTTAACAATGTAGATGGTTCCAAAGCTGCTTTACAGTGATAATAGGAAATCAAAGCAAAATAGATTGTTTTTGTTTTATGACAGCTCTAGAATAAAGTTATTTTCCAGCTAAAGTTAGTTTTAATTGATTCACTTCCGTCGCAACGATCATTAGTTATTAACTTAGGGGCCGCTAACATGACACTGTTTTAACAGAACTCTTAAGTTCTCTCTACGCAAACTTTAAAACGCGAACCTGTGAGAACCCTGATGGCGTGCACATGCATATTAAGAGCTCATTCTATAGGTATGCGCGTTTGAATATATGTGCGCAGGCATGTAGTCCTTCCCTAAAAAACCAACCCTCAACAAACTACTTGTCTGGCCTTAATTTATAATACAGAATTTTATCGCTTCGGCGTAGCCACGTGAACCGGAATTATCCCGACAACGATTATCTGTACAGAGGTAAAGGGAAGGAGGCCTTCACAGGGAGGGACTAGTGACACTTCAGGACTGCGTTGTCGTCGCGTCCAGATGCAGGTCCTTCATCAGATTTGGATACGGCCTGGATCCGGCAGACTGCGGTAAACCTCGGGATAAACAGAGAGACTAATATTAGCATAGACGCCATTCTTCTTATGATGTAACGAGTTCATCAGGATTTATGGGAAGTGTTCCCGGTTCCGTCTGACCTAATCTATGCAGCCTAACATTGAATTATAGAAGTCTATAGTGTGTTATGTGTATGCAAGGTCAAAGAGATGTGTTTTTAGTCTAGCTTTGAACTGACAGAGTGTGTCTGCTTCCCGGACAATGTTAGGAAGACTGTTCCAAAGTTTTGGTGCTAAATAGGAAAAGGATCTACCACCAGCAGTGGATTTTGATATTCTAGGTATTATCAACTGGCCGGAATTTTGAGATTGCAATAGACGTGAAGAAATATATAGAGCTGAGTATCATCAGCATAACAGTGAAAACCAATGCCATGCTTCCTAATGATATCTCCTAAGGGTAGCATGTACAGAGTGAACAGCAACGGTCCTAGTACTGAGCCTTGTGGTACACCATACTGAACTTGTGATCGATAAGACATCTCTTCATTTACTGCTACAAACTGATAACGGTCAGATAAGTATGATTTAACCCCCTGGGGTCGGCTATCGCGCCGGCGCGATTGTCTCGCTTTTTTTCTTATCAGTGTAAAAGAGACTCAAAATACTCGGTTAATTTTGATCTTACATATAAGTGTTGTACATCATTAGATCCTGTTAAGTTTCTATTTTTTTGTGGATACTCACAATAAAAACAAAGTGTTGTGCTTTTCACCAAATAAAGAAAAACAAACATGATGCGAGTTCTGCGTTCTCTCTGTCAGTGAAGTCCATTCTGAAACGCGTCCTAAGACTAACTGTAACTCCGCGATTACTTGTCACACAGGCACGAGAGGTTTTTCTTTATGAAGCTTAAATTCTCTTCTTTTAAATGAAGTAATTTATATAAAAAACAAATATTCTCAGTTTATGCAATCTGTATGAAAAGAGAGTGCTGTCAGTATTTTTTTCCCCAGCTCATTACACTTCATTACGCGTTAATCTGACACGCCCACGGAGGACGCGCGCTATTCAAACACAAATGTCGAGGCAAGCCATGACAATGCCCACATCAGCCGTTCCACCGCGGCGGTAAAATGTGTGGTGTATTTGCTGCCTTTTACCGCTAAGAGGCGCTACAATCATAGACTCTGAAAAGTGTTCGTTTATTCCGGTTTATTCTCTCTAATGTGTAATCTGCTGCCGCACCGCGCTGATTCAGAGCGATTGAAAGCTGGTAGCAGAAGAATTCAACAAGTGAAACGTAGTTAAAATAATTCATAATCACAATACTGAAATTAGGCTACTGAAATGTAATTGAATAAATAATGAAAACATTTCAACATAAAACATTGCAATAAAAACATTTAGGCTACATCAATGAGACTTTACAACTCTATCAGCGTGCAGACTAGCTCAGTGGTCAACGCAACAACACGAGCTTCGAGGCGCTTCAATCCACCCGAGATCGAATCTCAATGTAGCATACATGTTGTTAACCGATGTTGTCCTACGTTTATATTTTCCCACC